CTTGTAGCTAATTGGCTGGTATCTTTCCCACCAAGGTCTTGAAGGGTTATTAATTATAACATTTTCATTGGGTGGAGATATCTACAAATAAAATGATCTTAGTAAGTATTAAATGATGGCTTACTTTCTGTCATTAAATGTGCTAGAAACTAATTGATAATACAAAATTATTTCTGAACCATAGCATACATACTTACATTTATTTCAACCACTTGAAAATGTTAATAGCACATTCAAATGTTCTGCTAAAAAAAGAACTTATCAAAATAAATTAACTACCAATACTGATTTTTTCATCAGAAACTTGTTTTACTTAGAGTATATGTGGGGGGAAAAGTTATCTTGCTTCACAGATACAGACTGAACTCTCTAATACATACTGTGAACAGTACCCACCTGAACCCCTCCGAATCCATTGGGAGCTAAGTATCGCTCACACTCAAGAGCAATGTCGTCCCAGCGCCACTCGAAGAGATGGACAATGGATGTCCGCCCAGGTTTGGTGTGCGGAGCATATTGAGCCCAGCAGAACCCAATGGCTGACAGTAATAAAAAGAACTTCATTTCGCTTTGAAGTCAACAGTGTTCTTTCCAGCAGCTATTTATATCCCTGCAAGAAGTATATTTTACAAAGTAAATGTTCACATAAATAAATATTTAGACCAGAAACCATTTATTCATAATCTGAAAAGAATGATAAATAGCAATGTTAACAGGTGAGGAACAGCAATAAAACCTCCCAGGAAATTATCTAAATGACCTTCCCAAACTCAATGTTTTTCTTATTGAGGGAATATTAGATTTTTCAAGCATCTGGTATTATATATATGTAAACAGTCCTTATCCATAGCCTATTTAATTTGGATTACACCTAGCTACTGAGGTCCTTGACTCAATAGAAAGAAAATAATAATGAGCCGGTGAAGATTTTGCCTTAAATATTTATTTTCAAATGTTTGCACTATTTCTATTTCAAATTGAAACAGGGCATTCAATTGTTTCTCACCCAAATTTTAGGGACTTAAATTTCTTCATTTGGACATTTTTGGAAATCAAATGCCCATGAGTTGGAGAAACAGACTACCCTAGCTCTGACTTCAAGCAAGATGCTTAATGATTTCAACAGTAGGTTTTCACCTCTATGATCAAATATTTCTCGACCACGATAAAACACCAAAGAAATGAATTTGTATCCCTTTTCTTTTTCTCTAAATTAAACCCTCACAAAAAGACTAATAGCACAGCTGAGGAAAATGCAATCCATCCATCCATACAAGTTATGATTGTCTACTTTTTTCTGCAGCATTGTGAATGATGGGAACAAAGATGTTTACATTATTTATTACATGAATGAATATTCAAACTCAATAATAATAATAACAATAAATACATCGAGTCAATTCCAACTCATAGAGACCCTATAAGAAAGAGTAGAACTGTTCCCTAGAGTTTCGTAGCCGTCAATATTCATGGCAGCAGACTGTCTCGTCTTCTTCCTTCAGAGTGGCGGGTGACTTTGAGTCACCAACCTTGGGCCTAGTAGCCTAATGCCTAACCTTGAATGAAAACCACAGTACTAATAAAATAATTTGAGATAGCAATAATGTCAATATATGGTCAAACCATTAAACATTATAGGTTGAATAGATAAAACATATGGCATGTGTAGGTATCTCAATAAAGCTGTAAAAATTTTGTTTAAAAACTCGAGTTTAGTTTTTAGTGTAAAACAAATCATTACAGGAGTAGAAAGGCTGGGGTGGGGAAACTAGTATGAAATAATAGGGCAGTAACAGAATGACTTCGTGGACAGTGTATTTTTGACAGGATCATCAGGGAAGACATATCTAATGATATGATTTCCAGCAGTTATTTGAAAGGTTAGGAAGAGTTCATCACTTAAAAATCAGAGAAAGAACAAAGTGGCTGGAGGGAGTTTCACAAACTCACTGTCATCGAGTTGATGTTGACCATAGTGACCCTTTAGGGCAGGGTAGAAATGTGCCTGTGAGTTTCCCAGACTGTAACTGCTTACAAGAGTAGAAAACTCTGTCTTTCTCACACAGAGTGGCGAGTGGTTTTGAACTGTTGACCTTGCAAATGGAAGCCCAACACATAACCCAATATGGCACCAGGGCTTCTTAGATGGGAGAAAGTAGCAAAGATTAAATCCCAAGGTAGGAAACTGCCTAAATTATTTAAGGAGCTTGCGCACACACCTCAATTTGGCTGAAGTACAAGTAAAATGAGGTGAATCAGACAGGAGAGGTAGACCAGAACATGGAGCATCTTGTAGAAAAGGATGAAAAAGAAAGTTCTATTGAGGCTGTGAGAACAGAAGGTGGCATACTCTGATATACTTTTAAATAAAATCCCTCCAACTGCTATGAAGAAACTGGATTAAAGGAGGGCAAGAATAGAGGCAGAGACATCAGTTAGAGGATTTTTCTAGGAGTCCGGGAAAGAAGCAGGTGCCCCCGAGGGGGGAACAGACCACAGGTGTGACACGAACATGTTTCAGATGTCAACAGGCAATAGGTTTATGGGGACAGATTTTGGCAGTGATACCATTTGTTAAAATGAGGGAAAATGAAGAACCAGCTATGGCAAAGGATATCAAGAGTTCTATAGCTTTTAATAATTCCTCCATTTTAATGTTCTCTTTTTTCCCTTCTTCAGTATACCAAGTGACATGAGACGTCCTATCCATTGAAAACTAGAAATGCCCTGGAATTTAAAAAGCCATTTCAGACCTTCATATCTTCCCAGGAGTTTTCGTTCTTTGTAGGGTTCCCTTCCACCATCCTTGTGAGTGTTGGCATCCAGCTACAGTGGAAGCAACGTCTTTGTAAAATTTATCCTGCTCTACCAGGGCTTAGTTAATAACACCTCTTCTATGTGGCAAGTTAAACACATATATCACATTATTCAACTGTTTTATTTACATTATAAATAATAAAGTACACATGGTAAATAATTAAGGAAACCTATTCTGGACCAGGTGTCCTGAATGTAGATTTCAGGTGTGATCTCCAACGTCTAGCAAAATGACAGGCATAAGGGCTTACATACTCAATCAGTGATTCCGGCAGACAATCTCTTCATGCTAGGTATTGTGAAAGATGTTGAAATGACATGGGTTATGTTCCTATTGATTCTTCTTAAAACAAATGAACACTCTGCCAAAAACTGTGTAATAATTAAACGCTAGTCCTTGTGGGGGGAAAATTGCACACATGAAGAAATTAAGGTATATTGAGCTAGAAAAAATTGAGCTAATTGTCCTAACTCCTATATTAAGCCACAAAGCCAAAATTTAATAGTAGGTATGACTATGTGGTGATATTATCTATATTACACCAGTGTTTCTGATTGAATTCTAGAATTGTAGTGTTCAATATGGCAGTCACTAGCAGTATTGCACTACTCAGAGCTTAATGTGCTATAAGACCCGAGTTGTCTTAATCAATGATCTCTATTTTACTTCTCTGTGTTCTAATATCAATTGAAATAGGATATTAGAAGTCACAGGGGAAAAATCATGCTTAAAAAATTTATTAAGGAAGTTAACAAGTTGTAATGCCAGTGAAAAATGCTCCGGATATTTATCAGGAAAAATTACAAAGTTCTTTCAGACCTGCCTAACCACTCAGCTAGAAGTCTCAAACCAAAGACATTCAGTTCAAGCTTGTGGGTCAGCAAGCCCACCTTCCCCAATTAAGTGTCCTGAGGCACACCATACTGAAAACCGGCCTTCTACATAAATCTTCATTTGCTCAATGGGTTGGAAAGTCAGCCACTTTGTTCTATGCTCTGGTTCCTGGTTCTGCTGCTGCTCCTCTGCTGGTATAGCTGCCTTCTGAATCCAGGAGGTTCACTGTGCAGGGGTCTCAAGTCCAGAAGACATGCTCCATTCCTGGCTCTTTCTAGTAATGAGATGTCTCCTCCTGATTCTCAGAGGGTTCATCTTATGCACAGAAAGATGACATTCCAGAGAATCCTAAACACTATTACTCAAGGGCGAATCCTATCAATAGCTTCTCTCTTTGGTGGGAGTTAAAAACTTTGGCTAAAAGTCACATTAAATAATTCATTACAAGAACAAAGTACACTTTGTATTTCTAAGATTTAGTATAAAAATCATTAATAATTTTACATGGATTACATACTGAGATGATAATGCATAGGGGCACATTTGACTTACTAAAATGTATTTCCCCCATTTCTTTTTTCTACTTCTTTTAATACAGCTAGAAAAACAACCAACCAGAATGCTCTACTTATAACGCCCTCCCGGGGAGGATGGACAACAGAAAGTGAGTGAAGGGAGACATTGGTGAGTGTAGGGCATGAAAAAATAATAATAACTTATAAATTATCAAGGGTTCATGAGGAGAGAGAGTAGGGAAGGGAGGGGGAAAATGAGAAGCTGATACCAAAGGCTCAAGTGGAAAGAAAATGTTTTGAGAATGATGATGGCAACAAATGGACAAATGTGCTTGATACAATGGATGGATTGATGGAAGGATAGTGATAAGAGCTATACAAGCCCCATTAAAATGATTTTTTAATGTCATCAATTAGAAGATGTGATAGCATTATAATAATAAAGGATGAAGTGTTGACCATTAAAAAAAGAAAAACAATAAAATGTTCTATGTAGTCCTAATTATATTTCTATTGTTCTAGAAATGCTAAGTAATAAAAGAAACACCCCTACACACATATAAAATAGCAATTATAAAAGGATATCATTGTTATGTTAAGGGAACCTCCCAATTTAAAATTTGAGGGGAAGTATTACAATGTCAATATCACTAACAATGCAATCCTGAAGCAAACTTGGTTTAGGGAAACTAAGGACTGATTTTGAGACATGACTAAGTGTGAAGCACACTTTTAAACCTAAATAGAAGTAAAGTAATCAATAAAAGCATATTATTTAGGGAGTAATTTGAAAGTTTTCAACAAACAGCTATAGTTCAAAATGGAACACAAAATGTTTTACAAGCAATTTAGCACAGACACTGACTAATCAGAACAGATGCTATTCATCAGCAAATAGTATTTATGGGCCAATACGCACTGGTTGCACTGTTGAATAGGAAATTACGGCATTGAGCAGAGTCAATCAGTGTTTGTCTATGTAAATGAGGGAAAAAGAGGAAGCAAAAGAGATGCCAGTAAACAGGGAGACAACGTTTGTTTCAATAGGTCAATAAATTAAAGCAACACTATTGCTGTCAAATTGGATTCATGGTAACCCTAGAGGTTCAGTAGAGTTGCCTCCTTGAGGTTTCCAAGCTTTACAGAGGCAAGTCACACTTTACTGGTAACAGCCAAACTCTTAACCACTGTCCCAGCAGGGCTTCTTACTACAGAAATGTTAAGAAACACAAAATAAATCGTTTGTACGTATCCTCCATCTCACTGCCATTGAGTCAAACCCAACTCTTAGTGACCCCTGAGGGCACTAAGTTAGTAGAACTAACTGCCCCTTTGGGTTTCCAAGGCTATACATCTTGACTGGAATAGAAAGCCTCATCTTTCCCTCCTAACACTGCAGGTGAATTCTAACTCATTGTTAACCCATTACACCACCAGGATGAG